GCCCCGCCCAATCTGACACGACAAGGCCCTGGAACCCCAGCTCCTGCCGCAGAACGCCCTCGATCAATTCTCGGTGGGCATGCATTTGCTTTCCTTGCACACTGCTGAAAGACACCATGATACTCATCACCCCGGCTTTGACTGCTTCCCTGTACGGTCGCAGTTGCTCTTCGAATTCCGCTTCGCCTAACCGTACATCGCCTCGGTCGAGGATCTTGGCGCCCATTTGCCCCGTTCCGAACGTAACTGCACCGTCACCTACGTAGTGCTTAGCGCACGCCGCTACGGTGCCCGGAATGCGTACGCCCCACGACTGGGCAGCCGTGCCCTGCAGCCCTTTGATATGCGCAACGCCATTGGCTGTCACTGCATCCGCGTCCTCTCCGAAACTCTCATACGTCCTACCCCACCGACAATCCCGCACTACGGCCACACAGGGTGCGAAAGCCCACACAACTCCTGTGCATGTTGTTTCGATCGCTGTGGCACGTGCAATGGCTTCTATTAAGGAGGGATCATTGGCTGCCCCGAGACCGATGTTGTGAGGGAAAAGGGTGGTTTCCTTGGACAGAGACATGCCGTGCACCGCGTCCCCACCGTAAAGCAATGGAATTTTCAGGCGAGATCGAAGCGCAGCTTCTTGATAATCGCCTATCATTTCGCAAAATCCAGCAGGAGAATTTTCGAATGGCTGCCCTGATCCACCACTAATTACGCTGCCGATCCCAAGCGTGGCGAGGTCGTTTTTCTCTTTGATATACGCCTTGTCCTGAACAAAATAAGAGGAAAAAGGAGAGTGCTTACAAATTCATGTACCAGCGCAGCATTAGTCATCATTGGTATCAAAATGTCTGCATCCAAGCATTAAGTGGAGATATGGCTAGAAAGTGTGCGATATTCCTCTGAGGGTGATGTAATGATAAAAATAAAGTAAAAGGGTTTGATTGTTGAAGTGGCTTCAGCCATCCAGCTCAATACGAGCCATGGTCCTCATAGGTGCATGATAATTGTATGAGAGTCCGGAATGCACTGCGTCACAATTAATTTGTCGTTAGAGCAGGCGAAAAAATATATACAGATGTGCTTAGCAAATATATACACGTATGATAGAGATTCCCCCCTCCCAGTCCGGTACTTACGACTTGTCCAATTTGCATCAATTTTTCTTGCCGGGTCATCTTGTGTAGGAGTTTTAGGATAAATTCTTCGTTTATATCTTCCTGGAGGTCATTTGTCTCCGCCATGCTTGGTATTAGCACTTAATGACACACTTTTCCTGAGGAAGTGGATGTGAGTAAATCACACAATTATGCTTTCTGTGATCACGACCAGACGGAACAGCCCAATCGCCTCTCACTAATTGGAACTTGATCCATGATTTTCAGAGTCCTTGACCAAGTGCTTACAGCAAGACGTGCTTTACCTTTCTCTTTAGGCAAGGGCGAGGTACTCCGTGGGGGGTAACGGCTCGGATTCGCTAGCGATGATCCGGAAACGGCTTTCAAATTTGAATCGTGTGTTCTTCGGTGGAGGGCAAACCATGGGATTTTCGCCGGTAGACGCCTAAATGTGAAGTAGATGGTAAAAGAACGCATTGAACACCTCAATCTCATCTCACATCGGCAAGGGACATTTTTTCCGATCCTGTTCAGAGCAGCCTGCATCTGAGGTCGCGCCCGCGCAGGCGCCCGCCTGTGTCTCCTTCGGCAGGCTCGGCGCGCATTCCTGGGTCGTCTAGTGTGGGTCTGGCCATTGCCTCATTTACTGCATCTCGTCGTCAAGCCATGGCATTGAATTCTATATTAGTGACCACTTTGGGTGCTGTGTCGGTCATTCTTGTGTTAAGCGCTTTCGTCACAGGCGGCACCTTCTACAATTACATCGCTCGCCATGAGCAGGGTATTCCAGAGATGTTTGACTCGAAAGCTAGTGAAGTATCACCGTCATACTCGACCCTCTCTCGACTTCCCTCATTACGTGGACGGTACGCAGTCGAGAAAATGGCCGGATCCGGAAGTGCACCGAGAAGACAACCTGCCAAGACGGAGAATACGAGTCAAGTGCGAAGGTTTTTGGCTTTCATTCCCTTGCTAGGCCTTAAAAATGACGATTGGGGAAGTCGAGAATCAGAGCGCTTAGTGCTGGAGGCCTGGAATGCCTTGGCAAATCATGTGAGACTCATGAATGAGAGTGTAGAACTGCGGGTTGTGGGGATGGTAGAGGACGCTTCCTACTGTGACCCTCGCCTCTTCGGTCCTTCAGCCTCCCTCGCGTCCAGCGCTGTCTCCTGCCTGACGCTAGGTCCCTCTTGTAATCAATCCGGGCAAGAAAGCGCTCCGACATTGGATTGCATCTTTGAGGTGGCCACGAGAGTGGGAGACGCCTACGGGGCAAACGTTTACATCCTTGCCAATGGTGATGTCGTGTTCACACCCACTTTCACAGAGGCGATCGCTTTTGCCTTGAACACCTTTGGAAACGGATCACCCGTACGAGAGGGCGAAGAGGGCGTCGCACCATCGCCACGCCTTACACTCCAGCCTCCGGCGTCAGCATCAGGCGCGAGTGGTTTCCCTCCCCCTTGCGCGGAGGCCTCACAGCACGAAGGATTTGTGCTTGTTGGGCGGCGGCTGGACATGAACGTGAGCATACCCAAGGGTCCCGACGATCCCCCATTGACCGCAGAAGATCTCCTGGCAAAAGACGTGAACGTCCGCCTTCATCCCCCCACCGGCATCGACTACTTCGCCTTCACCGCCAACCTCTTGCCGCGTTCCTTCCCTCCCTTCTTGATCGGGCGATGGCGGTGGGACAACACCCTTCTCCTCCACTTCTTGCTTTCGAAAGGGGCGAGTATCGACGCCACAGAAGTCGTCCACGCTTTGCACATAGGAATGGCGCCTTTCGACTCGGCCGAGCATGCGACCCGCGCGGGCGCCCACTACAACGACGTGCTCGCCGCCAGCACCGCGGGGTCGGCCCATAAATTGGGCCGGTCTGACTTCACGACTTATGTCCTCAAGGACGGGGGCATGCCGGAAGAGGAAGACGAGGTTGCACCGCATCATCTGGCGTTGCGGCTGGAACGCAGGTCTCATCCCTTGATCCACGGTCAGCTGGCTGGCTTACGAGTGGCTGAGAGAGGCTTCGCTTTTCCCAATGCAAGCCATGAGGAGCGAAACGCACACGTGCAGGCGGATGAAAATTCAGGAAAGACAATTTTCCTGTTGCCCGTACCGGCCGGGGAGGTGGCCTCGGCTATGGAGTGGGCGTGTTGGGCTGGAGACATGGGCCTGCCAAACTACCTCTTCGTGGCTGCCAGCAGGAATGACTCGTGCGCCATCGAGGCTGCGCTCGCAGTCATCAATAAAGGTCGAAAAGGCGGTGAAATCTTGCACATGGACCCTAGTCAGTTGACCATTGCTGGTTGGGGCGGGAGCAAGCCCTATTTCAATCAAAAAAAATCAGGGATCGCTTCGAGAGCCGTCCTGGACTATGGGACTGGGGCATTGATGCAGCGCCTGTTGCGGTTGGGACTTTCTGTGGTATTGGTGCCCACACTGACCCCGTTCCCTCCACCTTCACGGTCGGCTTCATCCGCGTCGCCGCATCCGCATCTTCCATCTTTTTGGGGAAAGAATGCGAATGCAAAAATGAAAGGCGACGAGGGAACGGGTAGGACATCACAGGAAGTCATTCAAAGCGTGATGCAGGCCTCCGACGATGCAGCATGTGACGTGATACTGTGGGAGGAAACGCATACGAGCGCTCCAGGGCATACAGACACGCTGAGCAAGCACACATATACGAAAGAATCGTCATCCAAGGAAAAGGCTGACAAGCGGGCAAATTTTTTGTACGCTCGGGTGGAGGCATCGAGCCAAATCATGAAAAATTGGGATACTGTCTTCAATTGCCTGACGGAGGACGTACGGAGTAGCAAAAGCAAAAGGGGTTGGTGCTTTGCGGAGTTGAAAACTTCTTGCCATCATCTTGTACCGGCGGTCTCTGTTTCGAATTATTTTGAAAACTTGTCGGCAGATCAGCGGTTGTGGAGTGCTTCCTCGTTGCAGTGTCGACAAAAATACAAGAACCGAGGGACTTGATTTAGGAAAGCACTAGCATGCGACTTTTTTCCAATCAAAAGAGATTTAAAAACCTGTGAGCTGCTACAGGGCAGAGCGTAAATGTAAAAATTAGGGATCATATAATGCACTTTAGAAGAAATGACTCCTTTGAAAAAAAGCAAGCTGAGATCGACTCTTTCAAAAACCAATGAGACCACCGGAGGAAAAATACATATGAAAGCCTGTGGATGTCACAAAAGTTCTATAAAGACATAATGGTCAAGATAGCATCTACATCGAGAAGCCTGTGTTGCTTTTTCCAGATAGCGAGCGAGTCAAAAGTGCTGAGATGCATAACTCATGTTTATGAGAACGTAGAAATAATCTTTCTTCGGCGCTGCCTTCTTACGGGAAAAAGTGTTCGTTAAGACCCTGAATGATTATGAATAACGACTTTCCCTCTTACAGTTGTAAACAAGTCTCCTTGTTCACGGTTGCAACCCTCAGTACTGTTAACGGCAAGCCGACCAACGGTCTGCCGGGCAGCAACGTACTCAGGATTCGACCGCAATCTAATACTGCAAATCCCACACGCACATAACGCCAAACACCAGGTAACACATGGATGATGAAGACACTCGTCTCATGTGCAGTGTTGCTATTGCAGCCGTTCGCCTACTCCTTTTTTCCTGCAGCCAGGCAACATTATCCGCCCCATCGAGATCTGCATCAGCGAGAACCATGCCTATCGTTTAGCGCCTTTATTGACGACAGTTTGAAAGCTTCAGAACATCCATCCGACGAACTTCCCCCCAAGTCTTATTTCTTTGATGCCCCTAAAGCTGTCCGGTTGGCAGCTTTTTCGTTTGCAGCTTACGGTAAGCCTTCCGGGTCCCGCTGGCTGCGCCTGTCTGATGGCACAGATTTGGGTTTTCAGTCCGACGACCTTGTGCGAAACAATTTTAAAAGTCTATTACTGGTTCATATTCTCCAAGCCCGTAACTTGCCGGAAGAACAAGGTGGATTGCTGGAAAAAGCCTTGTCTGGGTCTGGCTGTGACCCTTACGTTGTCTCAGCAGTAAATAATTCTTGGGGTGCTGACCTGGCGATTACAAGTGCCAAAACTGCAAATTCGAATCCCGACTTTTTTCAACGCTTCTTTTTGTACGTGGAAGATCCGACAACGGCATCACTGAAGCTTACAGTCAAAGATCGAAATCTACTGAAGGGTGATGATGTTATCGGCTCTTGTCAAGTGCCTTTGAGGCTTCTGGAAGAGAAGATAGGCGACGACGCACCCCCTGCACAGGGCATTTTGGAATGGTCAGGAATCTTGGATATTGAGAGTGCTGTGTCAAATACAAAAAGTTCGGGGACCATTGAAATCGAGCTTCAGCTGGTACCTTTGGATGGCAATGCCGTAGACAAAGACGATAGAAATCTAGACGATCCGGATATAGAAAACATGAAATCAATCACTTTAACCCCTACAGGACCCAAAAGTGTTTTGGAAGGTATCGATTGGAATGAGTTGGGGTCACGTGTTGGAGGAGTAGCAACAGGGTTGGGCCGCTACCAATTTGCGTGCTTTTTGACAAACGAGGAGACAGACACTCAGGGGGGAATATGGTACGACTGGAAGGCCAAGGAGATCATTATATCCTTTCGCGGGACTCAGATGGAGTGGAAAGATCTTTTGACAGACATGGCGATTTATCAAGAAGGTTTGGACGGGCCAGATGATCGCCGTCTAGTGCATGCTGGCTTTCGGCGTGCATTTCGTTCCATCCGGGGGGGGGTAGTACAAGCCTTACAATTCATTGCTCCTGATTTAATCGTTGACGGGTGGACTGTGGATGTATGCGGTCACTCTTTGGGAGGCGCATTAGCCTGCTTGATGGCCTATGAGCTGGATCGACGAATGCCGGCTCTATCAGAGGGAGGTCGTCTGCATGTCTATTCCTTCGGGGCCCCGCGCGTAGGCAACACTGCCTTCTGCGACGAGTACGATGTTCGCCTGAAAGAAGTGACGTTCCGAATTGTGAATGGTTTAGACCTTGTCGCACGTATGCCGCGAGGAACGGGACGGTCTGCGGTTTTAATGGAATACAATCATTGCGGACGCACGGTGTTGCTTACAGAGACAGAAGAAGGGCAATTTCGTGTCTGGGTGGAGGGAGAGTCGGAAGGAGTGTGTCCACTTAAAGAGGGTGACGCATTTGCGTCGACCACGGACAAGTCTGTCTCTGATTTGAGGGCAATAGCCATGAAGGGGAAAGGAGACAAGGAGCTCGAATTTCAATTGCCTATAAGCAAGGCCACGTTTTCGAATGGCACGACAGCCTCGGTCCAGGAGATGCTGCGGGCAGCTGGTAATCTCACTAATCTTGAGGCCATGCTTTCCTTTAAGCCATCTACGGATATTTTGGCCTCCTTTTCTGGATCTCCTTCATCCTGGCCTCCCTCGGGACCTTTCGGTCAGTTGAGTCTTCAAACGGACCTATTTCAAGTCGCCAACGCCGTCTTCGGGACAGCTCTAAATTCAACCGCATTCATTGGCAAGAGTCTAGGACTTAATGAGACGTTTATAGACAGTGAGCTGAATTTGATTAAAGGGCTAGTATACGGTGAGGCACTCGCCCATCACATGGAACCATTGTATTACCTTGCGCTCGAAAAAGCTTTCGGGGCCGCGATGAAAATGGACTCTGCCAGGAAAGAGCATTGGGACGAAGACCAAAGGTAATTTGGGGTCGAAAATCATTTTTACGCAAAGAATATCGCTATACATGCATACATACATGGAGCTGTGTGCAAATATTTACTTTAATTTAATATAAATCCAGTAGAGACGCAATTGCAGTTAATTTTTTCATGCGTCTACATAACAGTTTATGATATTTGATTCTGTTCGTAACTTGCTATTGTCTTGAAGAGTCCGTGGGAGTTTGTGATCCTACTCCATAGATTTGAGAAGCTTGCAATTTTCCATCTACAGCGTTTATATCGGCCTGCCAAACTCCTGCTTCCAACAAAAGTTCTCGTTGTTTCTGGCGCTGAACCAGATCCCGCTGACACACGTGTTCGAAATGAGAAAAGATAGCTTTTGTTTGCACCGAGTCTGAAAGTGCTCCCTGCAGACAATCTAGCGCTTTAAGGAAATCATCCTGTATTTCGTCTGGTATTTCAATATCAGACCATGCTGCAGCTGCTCCCAAAAGACGGTTCTTCATTTCTTCCCCATGCGCTTGTCTATCCTTAGAATCGCTCTTCCCGAAGACCACTAAATTGCGAGGCACGCTTTTCCTTTCGCGAATGAAGGCATCCCAAGCGCCTCGGACGTCTCCTTGCTCTTTCAGTAGAGAAACGACATCTGTCAGGTGCGTCAATCGTTTATACTTACCATTTCTTTTCATCAAGTGTTTCAGCGGGACGGGCCGGCGTAAAGCTCTTTCTTGCATAGCAACTTGCATCAAAACAAGGGCTATTAAATCTCCTTGCCTTAAGGTTGCTCCGTTACAGTCCTCGATCTTGGGTGTGACAACAGATGAGAAGACCTGCGAGACGCTTTCAAAAGGTAGGTTTGGAGAATCGTCGATTGCATTTTCGCCAGCTGGTCCCCTGGAACACTGCAGAGCCGACACATTTGACCATGCGGAATGAACGTCTCTGTCTTCCGCACTTCCCCCACTCAACACTGTCAACACTTCCAAGAGCAAAGATTCCCATGAGCCCAACACCGTAGTTTCAATCCCTACTGTCAAATGAAGCGACGAGTTTTCCAGGCCCCCGTCATTCTCATTGAGCGCCTCATGGATCGTTCCAGAGGGCAGGTAGAGCAAATCCCCAGGCTCGAGGACGAAGTCAATGTATGGCTCTCCGATGTCGTGTAGGCTCGGCTTGAATTGCATGTCCGGACGCGGTTGCTCCACCAGTGCATCGTATAGACGCCATCGCTTGGAGCCCTCTACTTGAAGGATGAATGCATCCATCCAATCAAAATGTGCCTCAAAAGCCTGGCTGCCAGGAGGGGTAAAGTAGCAGTTGATGGACGTGCGGTAGCCCAGTTCCCCTTCAAAAGCAAGAGCCAAGCGGGATGTGCCGTACAACTTATCCTCAATATTGTTTATGACCAGAGAATAACCTCGTGAAAAGGCGGCATGCGCGACCTCTGCATCCGTCGAATCATCGTCGAGACCAAAAATCTGCCGTAGCGCTGCGGTAGCAGGAGTGCTCGACCACCATTCGCCATCGACGCCCTTTATGCGTTTGACTAGTGTCCAGCTTTTACTTTCTGCGTCATGTTCTGCCTGATCGCATTTTGGTTCGCTAGAACTCAAACCTCTCAACATTGAAGCGGTTGAGCTTTGCACCAGTATAGCATCCAAGTCACTCTGCCGCATGATTGGTTGGAAAAATGTTGGATTATGCCTCCGAATAACGGCCGGTTTAATTTGCCAGAAGTCTCGGAAAAACAATTCTTTGCCAGGGGTAGGTCCCAGCATGGATGATAGCACAGTGTTGTCAGTCGTAGTCGATGGTGGCCTAGGTTGGTGCTCCCCAGCTCCAAAGGATAAGGCTAGCCAAACAAACAAGAGTTGGAACTGCACCATTATTTGGTTGCTGATCGCAAAATCGAACAGCCTGTGACCGACGATAGCATTATGAGGATTAATAGAGATACATGACGTCTAAGTCCAGTACTATGGAAATGTTGGACGTTGAGTTCAAATGTTGAAAAGAAAACACACAAAAGACAACACCAATCAGACACTCTTGGATTGCAGAGAATATGAATTTTTATTCGTAGTACGTCGAGACATACATTCAAGCTTCGATATGGACAAATCGGCATTGAAATTTCGGTAATGCATGCGCATATTCGCGGCGCAACTGCCCCGGCACCCCGGTGGTATAGAGCCCTCGGTCACCGTTGGAGTGCATCTGACAGCATAATCAGCTTTGAGACTGTGATAAAAGCATAAGGGCTGCGTAGCGCATGATTATACTATGAACAACTTTCCCCGTATAAAGCACACCTCGTGATACATTCGGAAGAGTAAAGTAAACATTTTGCGTCAGCTCTCCAACGGCTGCAAATGACGGCTAAACCGTTACGCAGGACAAGCATTCATTCCTGCTTTTGCTGGATTTTATCCACTCCTTCAGCATGCGATACATTCATATAGATTTATCTTTGGATGATATATTTTGATATGCATTGATGTTATTAAAATGCAGCGAAGTAGTTGGCTGGTGTGACACCCTGCACTTTCCTGAGTTGACTTAAGAAACGCATGGCTTTGTCTGTGAAAGCGAAATAATCGCTCGTAATCACACGAACAAATGGATAGATCTTTTAATGATAAAGCACCCAGGAACATTTTGTCACTTTTATTCTATATTGTGCCTTTTGTCTGGGACCTTAATTAAAAAAAAAACGTCCTGAAAAATTGCAACATCGTCTGGAGCATTATTCCTAATATCGCAGGAGATGTTGAAACTATGGTCTTTCTTGACTCATACGCAAATAAACATAGGAGACTCCTTCAAAGGACGTAATTTGCAGAAATACTTATATGAGGGGTAGATCAATAGCATGGCCGTCGAAAGCTGCATCACAGAATATTGCTCATTCTTTGCAACGGATGCGGCGACTAAATGTTCTGGCACTCAATGTCGTCTTGGTGGCTTTCTTTGTCGTATGCACGTACACAAATAGTATAACCTATCAAGCGGATAGACGTCAAATTGTCTACACTCCGCAATCAACAGAACTGGTCGAAAGTCTTCAAGGAATGCATCCGAGAACGCAAAGAATGGCTTCTGTAAGCAGTGGGAGCGAAACTGAAGTGACAAGCGAAACCAAAGAAGGGACGGAAGTCGAAGCTTGGAACACGACATCAGGACTTTCTTTATCTGCTTGCATCTCGGAAGAGGAAATTGTCGCCGCACCCAAACATCATATCTATGTCGCAGCCCCCCTTTTCAATTCTGCGGCTTACATTGTAGACTTTCTAAAAAGCATCGAAAGTCAAGACTATTCTGAAGTTACTGTTGTGATTTATGATGATGCTTCTCCAGATGGAAGTGCAGACAAGGTTGCGTCTCTTACGCCCTCTTTTCCCTACAGTATTGTGCTCTTGCGCGGCAACGAGAGGAAAGGCCCTTCCCATGCCAAGCTAAAGCTTATAGATGCCATACGTCAAATGGCAAGACCTATGGACCTGGTCCTTTTCATAGATGCTGACGATAAATTCTTTCACAGAAATGTACTGGATGAGGTGGCCTCCACTTTTCGGAGGAAAAAGCCTTGGTTCGCTTACGGTCGCATTCGAGGGTATTACGAGGAGCAATGTGGGCCTCCCCCCTCAATCGTCTATAATGCCAAAAACAAAACATCTAGTGTACGAACAGGCCCATGGTCCTATTGTCATCCTCGAGTGTATCGTGCATTTCTACTGGACTACTTCAATGAGACGGATTTTCGGGATCCGCGATCGGAACGATGGCTGCTGAAATATACCGATCGCCAGATGGTCTACAAGGCGCTCGAACTTTCCGGTGACGAAAAAGTCGCCTTCATGGATGGCGAGCAGCCACATGTTTACTACCGTATGACGGGAAACTCAACCGTCTACCTGGACAAGGGGATCAAGGATAAGGATTTAAAGTACATTCAAGGATTGCATGCAGAACCTACAGCGTTGCTAGAGCCCATCCACATTGTGAGCTGCGCCTATAAACGTGTTTCAATATTATTCGAAGTCCTTAAAACGAATATAGAAAAACAAGATGTAGGGATGCGGCCCATTTACATTCATATATGTAACAATGGGAACGACGAGCAGGCAACAACAATCCAGTCCATCCTGAACGGCATCAAAAGCTTGGCTGGGTATCGTATTCGGACTTTCAGGGACAATCCAGGTGGTTTTGCGCGGTTTCACATGATGCAGGATGCAATTAAGGAGTTCGGTGTGGACTATTTTGTCCTGCTTGATGACGACATCCAGCTGCCAGTTCCGCATGGTCTAAGAGACCTTGTCGCCGAGGCGAGGCCCCTAGAATACAACAGTTGGTGGGGGAGGCATTTCAAGGGACCAGACAAGGACTACCATTCCTCTCGACTGAGTCCGCCGGACCTCAAAGCCGGAAAACACAGCAACGTAATCAAATTCCATTACGCCGGGACGGGGCTTGCGGTAATTGATGCGGACATTGCTCGATTTTACTTCTTCCTGCTGGATAAGGTGTGTAGGAAGAGTGACCGACTTTTTTCTGTGTGATTAGAGTCGTAGCACATTTTTAACACTCCTTTCACGTTTAAATGCTTCATCTATGCATGAAACAGGTACCTGAGATATATCGGAAAGTGGAGGATCTTTGGCTGTCTTACGTCGTCCATCAACTGGGCTGGAGAGTCCGCCGCATTATTATGGCCGATGTCAATTTCATGGAAGACGCGACGTTAAACATGAATAATTCAACTAGGAAGCTTGTGCAAAGCACATCTTTGTGGAAAGATCTAAAGCCCGTCAAGCTGAAAATGCTTGAGGAACTTCGTTCCTGCGGTTGGAACGTGTAATACAATCGAGTTCACTTTTGTCGACACGTGCATTTTCATTTTGGCACGGCTTAAAGTCTTAAGCATAAAGAGTATATGTTATGGGAAGGGGTTCTCGCATGTACTCGCGCAGATTTCATAAGCTTCGACAACCATTTGAAGCCGTCTTCACAGGGTACTGATGGTGGTGCTTCGCCTCCGCAAGAAAGAATCACTTTATGGAAAGGTTTGACTCTCTTTCGATAAAGCCTCAGCTTGTGAAAGTCAAATAGAGGACGGAATAATATCAGAAAAAGTCGATGAATTGCTAATTTGACGGCCGTCCGCTTCGTTAAAAGTAAAAAGTCAACGAAAGCAACTACTCTTCTTGCTTGGTGCTCAGGTTTGGGTTTAACCGATTTTTGAAAAAAAAAGGAATGCTTCTTCTTGATTCGCATTAGCTTTGTGGTGGTTGCACCCCTTTTGTCTGCTCTCTCTTGTCGAAAAATTCGATCTAAGATCAGCTTGTGCTACTTCCGCTTCACTGACATTGCGTAATCTTTTTCCGAAGCCATACATGTTGGTCGCCCTACCACGGCTCCATGGAATCCAGTCACTCTGGTATGTTACATGTTTACGTGCTTCCGGCATTTCCACTCTCACTCGAAAATACAATACAATACGCTTCACAGTGTTGATACCCGCATATTTCCAAGAAAGCTGACAGTTAAATACACTTGTCGGTGCTCCATCACTCATAAATAAATGAACGAGAAGAGAGAAGCACTCCAAGAACAGCCGGAGGAAGCAACGTTACACCCCCAACCATGTCATGAGCCAGCTGGACTGCGGGAATCTTGCGTGAAAACTATAACCCGACATTTCGACGTTTTAACACTCCAACGATATCGAAATTGGGTCATTCCTGTGGATCTCTTCATGCAGATATTGCGAGGGTGCCAGTCGATTGCGTGGGTAAATTTAGCAGACACCATGCTTGGAGTGGTGAAAAATTTGCCATGTCTGCAGGTTCCTGAAGTCGACGAAGTATTCTGGAAGACAATATGCGAAGCTACGCTCAGCCCTACTACACCAATTGCTGTGCCCTATTCATCACTCGTCCACAATGTTGTGCGACATACGGTGTTTTTGAGGAACTACTCAGCAACGGCAGAAATGAATGGCGGAGTGCCAGGGGATGCACTAAAGGAGGAGGTGTGCGGACAAATGGCCCACATGAATGCAGCTAGCTTTCAGGGCCAGGCATGTGGTCAGACGCAAAAGAACGGGGATACCACATGCCTTCCAGTTAACAAGAAAGGCAAAATTACGAAGCTCGAGGGGCATATCAGCAGCGGTGAAGGTTTGACTGGCCGTCTTCACGAAAGAAATATACGAAATGATGAATCTTTAGACATCGAAGGACAAAGAAATGGACATAAAACGTCGAGCGAAGGCGGAAGCTCTTGCAGCGCCACCACAAGAATGCCTAGGATGCAACAAAAAGATGGAGACGGAGACCATGCGGCCGCTTTACGTGTCTTACAAGAGTTGAGAGATATTCCAGTATCTGTGCAGCTCTTGAAAGATGCAAATGGGGTCTGCCAGGTCGTGAACCAGGTTAGCAAATTAGTGCCAAGCGCGAAGGGGGATAAGGGGGCAGGAGGAGGCTCTGTCGGCGAAGGACAAGCAATGGAGGAGGTCGTTCAGGCAGCCAGACGGCTTCGGCGGAAATGGAAGGCTGTGGTGCGCGAGGAGAGTCGGACCGATAGTAAAGGTGTCAGGGGCGAGAAAGCCTTCATGGGTTCGGTCGAACTAGGAGCACGGGCGGTAAGTGTGCAAACCTGGATGGATGTCTACATCTTCGCACGGGAATACGAAATGTACCGACAGCAGTGTATCGGCAAAAGAGCATTAGCATTGGCGCATGAGCACGACTCCAAAAAGCGACGGATGCAGAATATCGAAGAGAAGCTTGGGGACGCGGCTGCGATTGAAAAGGAGATCTGGAAAGGCAAGCCCGCAGTAGGGAATACCGAACGCATTCGAAAACTGATAAAATATCGCCCGACCATGTCCGTGGCAGTCGCGCAAAAAGCCTTTGGTGGACTCAAATTTGTACCTCCGAAAAAGAAAAAGCATTTTAAGGTGCTCAAGGAGACAAGCTAATAAGCTGATCGGGGGACAACGCACGCAGTAGGAAAAAGGGACTGTTGATCTGTACAGAAGAGTGGCTCTCTTGGTCAGTTAATCATTTTTGAAATCTTGGAAATGGTGCTTGACTAGAGGTTACAAAAAATTTGTACAGCGCAGGTTGAAAGGTGAGTTGTATACTGGACACAAGAAATAGCTTGAGATAATTTTCGCCTCCTAGAAACCCAAAATAAGCGACATGCTTGCTTTGGGTATTACGCGTTTCAAAACCGGTCCTTTACCATTCGTCTTGAATGCTTTTTATCTCTACTTGTCAAATGTGAGATCACCACAAATCACAATACCCTGGCTCTACATGACTGTCTGACCGCGCGGAGGAACAAAGGAGGGCCCGGCTGGTGCCATCTCAGCATGCAACGGCCCCGTCGCGGGCTCCGTTGCAGCACATGATTGCTTTCCATTTCCAGCAGGTTCTGTTTGCTGACGCCGTCTTTCACTCTCCTGCTTGGACCACATTTCGTCCAGGAAATAGCTGAGGTCCAAGGGGACCACCGCCTTCTCCGTCGAGGAGGCATGGCTGCCCTCCACCTCGCCCTCTGTCGCTGCCTCCGCCATCCTGACGGCTAGCTCGTCCATCGCCACCAACGTCCCGGCCGTCAAAGGTGCCACGTTGTCAGGATTCTCTAGCAGCCGAGCGACTGCGGCCGCGTGGGCTTGTTCATCCCCCCCGTCGTCCTCCATGGGGCAGAGGACACCTCGAGAGACCAAGAACGTGATGAGGGCGGGGGTCGCATAGCCCGGTGCCCGTGAGAAATCTTGGAAGTCGAATTCAGCAAAGCTGTGTCGCAGGCGATGGTAAAGCTCTCCTGCCAGCATCAAAGACTTCTTGCAGCAATGAAACCCCGTCTCAGTCCTGGACCCAGGACACGGCAAAGGCGCACCGAAGGTAAAGGGAAAAGCAGCATCCAACGCGGTCACCAGTCTGGCCACCGTCGGGACTTCCTCCCCCCGCATGGCAGCCAAGATGAAGTGCGCGAGGTCCGGCTCACCGAGTTCCTTCAGTCGTGCGCCCACAGTGTTCATAGACGTGACCAGCTCGTCGACTAATCGACTTAAAGGACCTGGACGCTCGACACGAATGGCAGGCATGCTATCATGGGGCACATTTTCCATGGGTTCGATTCCGAAGTAACTCGCCACGTCCGAGCGGGTGACTATCATGAGAAAGCCAGCCCGTAGATCTGTCTTGCTTAAATGCAAACCGATCAAGCCGAAGAGTACCGTATCCCGCGCCGATTCTCTCAGAAGGCCCGATTGACTAATGAAATCGCCCTCATACGCCCTCCCAAAGCTTAACAATGATAACAGGGCATGAAAATTTAATTCATCCAAAGGTCTTGGAAATTTTAGCGGCAGCCCAACTCGTGCAACTTTGTCACGGATCTCACTCAAGGAAAATTGAGCCGCTAATCTTCCCACTGCCTCGTGGTCGACACGGACGATGCTGGTCCTCTCTGATGCCTGCATGTCCTTCTGAGCGCTCAAGATGTCGGTTGCCGTGTCGCGTAAGTTTTGGAAGGCCGAGTTGGGCGTCATATTCTATGCGGGGATCAGATACTTTTAGCTATGCCTGGTTGGGGCAATGTGAGACTTTTTGTAAGCGGTTCACTTCCTATTCACGGTACAAAGCAGCATACTTAGCACCTTGACCCTGTTTGCCATGCAAACAGTTGCACACTTTATCGCCCACTTATCCCGTGCTTACTTGCCTTCCTGTTCTTGTTGTGTCTGACTTTTCTCGCCGGGAGCGAGCGGGAGTCTTGGAATGGGCCCAAAATGGTAGCAATGTCTCACCCTGCAGTCCCGAAACACAACCAACCCGTCTATGGCTCATATGATAAAAATCGCAAAGATATGATGATGCTGGCCGCACGTAATGCAATTTTGTGCTTCGGTAATATCGCATGGCCTACAATTGTCAGCGCCTTCGGCCGCAGGAAGTAAACCTCCCCCCCATGCCTCCTTTACTATTCAATACAAATAATTTTGAAAACAATTAACGAAGAAAAAGTAATTATCCGTCTACAGCGTACAAATGATATCAAATATTTATCTCGAGACAATGTACAGGTTTTGACAACTTTCGCATTTTTTCGCTCTGTTACGTCTCCCCCCACAGAGGCCATGGAGATGTGGGAAGGCCCGCGACAGTAGGGGGGCCGCCGGTATTTGACCAGGACCTCGTCCACGCTCTCTCCCAGCCGCCCTACCCTTTCGGCCTCGACAGGGACCGTCACGAAGGACCGGGACCTGTCATCGTTCACGAGCACAGCCTCCCCTCCACCTCGCCCCGGCATCAGGCCAGCCTAAAGGTGAAATTCGTACGTTGCCGGTAATGTCTGAGCGAGGATTTTAGCACATTTATATTCCCATCGATGGAGGATATCTACTCGTGGTGAAGAATAGTAACGCATGTCACAGGTTGGAGGAATTTCTTACCACGATGGCGCATCCCGTCGGAGCCCTCGGAACCTCGGCGGCAGAATGCGTTCGCATACCCCTCGTGACCACGTTATGATGGCGACAAGACGGCCTCATTTCAAAAATTGCAGTGGAGAGGATCGGAAACTCCAACGAAGTGGCGGACGCTTAGGCGGGATCCGGCAAAAAGGAAGAAGCTCAGTAGCCGCGCCTGCCGGGCGCCATCAGTCGGCGAAGACAAACAAAACCGCTAGGGAAGAAGTAACAACACAGCAGCATCATCACCGCAGCGGGTGGGAGTCGGCATGGAGGTTGGGCCTCCAAAGGACATAGGCGCAGGCCCGCCCAAGCCCATAAGGAGGAAGGGGAAGATAAGCGAAAGGCCGGTGAAGGTGGCAGCAGCGGCCCTGGTTCCAGTGGTGGCCGGAAATACTGGAGCTCTTGGCGAAACGGCATTCTCAGTTCTACCTCGCGGCTACATTGATCCACTCGAGAAAAGTGAGGAAGTCGCTTCAGGGAAAACTAGGAGGCGCGGCCGCCTCGCGCGAAGGATTAGAAGCAGGGCCAAAAAAGGTGCCGACCTGAGCCATCAGCTTCAAAAGGCAAAAATGCTTACTAAGCTAGAATAAGTGGTGGGAAGAAAAATGGGCAACAACAATTTCACTGCTTTTTACATACGTGTAAGATTGTGTTACTGCGAAACCATTTCTTTTCCTCAATATCGCGGATTTGCTCCTCGAAAGAATTAGCCTTTTTGTAGTCCTTTCAGTATTGATGTAAAGAATGCATTTACGAAAGTTGGCGTTGCATGGCAACTTGTCCATTGACAAATCTACTGCCAAAGTGTGACTTCCCTGCCCATGGATCCATGAATGATGGCAATGAGAGACGAGTCCGAGGGGGTCAGAAGTCAAAGCCTATGATGGTGGTGACCGCTCCCTGGGTTTCGCTCGAGTGGGTGTCAGAGCCACACGCAACCCTGTAGCCCATGACCGCTTGCACGTGAAAAATGCAATCGACACGTGCAAAGGGAAGACAGACGCCGTCCTTGCCAGTCGTGGGTGGTTTTTGCGTGCGCTTGGTCGCGCTAGCCCGCCCGGCAGCATTAATACATCAATTTTAAGTAGTACCTCATCTGACTACTTCATCCCCGTTTTATGTCTTCTGTCACGTAGATAAAATAAAGCACAACGATATAGTTTATGTCTCTCTGCATTGAAATTGGAGAATAGAGGGCTACGATTGAAATGAAGTTGTATTTTTAGGCATTTTTCTTCGTGGGCAGACGTCGCCAGACAAAACTGGCAGCCATGTCTCGCTTAATCCGCTCGCCCGTCTTCTCAATTTTTAAAGCAACTTGTACATCATACGACAGGCATCCCTGCGGCAAGAGATACCTTATCGTTCACCATAAGAACGAGGGGGCCGCTTAGTCTTGTTTGGGATTTGCTTTGGTAGTTTTGGAAGGAGGTCTTGCAGGTCATGACGCTTGGACAGCGGTCAAACGGGAGGCAGTTGCGGACATGGGCAACACTTATAGTCAGTGCTCTTGCCGGCACGAAAGCGTTACATGACATGCACCGTCCCTTTGAAGCAGGTACTTAGATACAACACTTTATGGCGGCTCTTATTTGTGGACTGCTGTTGTCCTTGGTCTCATTCCGCTCGAATGAAATCGCTTTGCACGTTGACCAATCGCTATTTTTCACCTCTCTCCACTCCCCGACGCACAGAATTTACGCCAGATGGACATGTGCGGGAGCTGAAACTCGGTAGGTCTGATGTTGAAAAGAGCTGGAGTTGGTATTGAGTCGACCGAAAACATTCTTGGGTTATACCCGTACGTCTCACTCGTCGAAACATTATACAGACGAGGCATTAGCCGGGGATTGGGGCTACCGCCTTCTTGAGCCGTATATGGTGTACAATGAGAGTGATACCACACCAAATAATTATGATCCGTGGTTTCCGGGCTGCCCTGTGTTTGACAACTTGAATAAAGTGGCGAGCTTCGGATGCAATTTTATACGATTGAACAAGGACGGTAAGTCCCTTCCCCTCGATTTTTTCCAGATTCCAATTGTACATTTTAGGGCCATTGCTCTGTTCTTCCTGATCATTTACATTTTCCCCTGATTTCGTACAACTCATACATATTTATTTATAGTCTTGACGGCTTTCTGGGTGGATTTTAGCAAGACCGCGAGCACCACGCGGCCGATGAACCCTGACGGCCTCCTGCCCCAAATCCTGAGAGACCATCGGCCGGACCCCCCGCGCCAGGTCGGCCGAGAGACTATCCACGCAGAACGCCCCACCTACTATTACTGCTACCGCTTGATCCTCCTCATGTACTCGATTGCCTTTGAGTACGAACGGAGCGACATGCAATCCATCTTGCCGAAACTCGTGGAGGACTGGGATCGGGAGAGATGGTACATGGTGGACTACCTCAAACCAACGAATATAAACTGGAAGAATATTCCGCACCGTCAGTCCCCCATTGCTGTCTCGATGATGAAAGGGGATCGGATGATGATCGTGATCCGAGGTACAATATGGACAGAGGAGTGGTGCAAAGACTTCCAGTACCGGTGGGCGGACGACGAGGACGGCCTGTTCCCGGGTCGCACGCACGAAGGCATGTACTCTGTATTTGTCGATTTCTACAAGGGCCTCGAGGAGGAGGTCGAAAGCCGGCAGCCCGCGCATGTCCTCGTCACGGGCCACAGTTTGGGGGCAGGCATCGCGAACATGATCGGCCTGCGCCTGGAGAACAGCTTGCAGCACAAGCCTCGCGTTGACGTGATCGGCTTCGGGGGCCCGAACACCGGGGACACGGACTTTGCGGACATCTACCGAAGGACAGTCAACAGTCGGCACCTGATCTTCCTTGGCCATGGGAGCTCTCCGAATCCCAATATGTACACGGCAGGGGACATCACCGCGCAGTACACCTGCGAGCCCTACCCTGGCTGCGATGTGTTGGCGACGGGTCCGTTTGGAAAGACCTACAAGTACGTGCGTCCGCACAATCAAGTGCCCTTCTACCCAGAGGACATGCCCAACCCCAAGACTTGGAATGACATCGCCAACGTCCGACGCATCATTCCGTCCACAAAGCGGGTCATTGCTTCCCACATTTGCAGCTATATTTGCTGGACCTCACTCGCGGTGGGAGATCTGGATAGCCGGTGCTACTTTGCCAGCGAGGAGGGAAGGCCGGACCTGCCCCAATCCTACTACTGTGACGTAAGTCAGGCTCCTATATAGGAGTCCTGGAGTCCTTTCCGTGACGGAAAGAGCATGCGAGGAGTTCATATGAATCATAAAGCACTCTGTATTCTGCGCGAAAGTAGAGGTTGTGGGCATCAACCTCCTTTGCCTGATCTTCGGACACGGACGCGGTGCGGTTCTGTCGAGTAGACAGTCGCTTGTTGTTTGTCTATACAATTGATGTAATCCATAAGTGTCGTCGAGAGGAAGGCGTCACATGGTTTCCTCGAAAGTAGTTTTTTGAAACGAAGCTAGGCCAGCCGAAGCGTTGGCAGGGTCTTTGACGAAGGAGGCATATGCGATTAAAGAAATAGCCACATAACATATACTCCCTTCGCATGCACAAAGTTACTTTTTCCGACAATTTGTCGTCGTCCATGGCTGTTAACAACCTCATAAGCACACACATGTTACATTTTTGCATATTCATCTCGTCTCGTGCAATGTCTTCACCTGAAGGATCTCAGTCTCCGCGTCTATGCGGCCATGGTCCACCTGCTCCGTCAAGACCTGCATGGCCTGCTGCTGCTTCCCACACTTCCGTTGCAATCGCTCTCGCTCTTTATTTACCGCGCTCAGTGTTGCCGCCCATTCCTTTTCCCGGGCCGCCAAGCCCCGCCGCAAAGTTTGGAGCTGTTGCTCTACTACCTCCTTGGCCGCCTTGACATGCTCCAGCTCATCTGGCCATCCCTCCCGCCCTTCCTCCTCCAGCAAGGCGTTCCGAGCAACAAGTGCCTCGATGGTCTTCGCTTGCTCCTCCCCTAGGGCCTGCATACGCTCTAACTCCTCTTGGTATTTACCCACAAGACTTTGTGTTTGGTCTTCCATCTGAGAAGCTCGTGCAGTTTGAGAGCGAGTCTGGTGGCGGCTCCCATCGACT